TGCGGCGCAGGTGGACAGGCGGCGTGCCACGCACTGCGCACAATCCTTCTCCCTCCGTCGCATTTCCTCTCTCTTACGTTCCCTCTCCCTGACATTTACTCTCTCTTACGCCTCCAAGCAGCCACTCTTTCAGCGGCACAAAGCGGGTGCCGTTTTTTGCAAAAAATATTTTTGTTGCTGCCCAAACAAAAATGGTAGAGTTAAGAACCTGTATTCTAATAGGGGAGAACCACCCGAGACAGCAAATCTCGTACACCTACGGCAAGAATGAGCAACCGAACTGAAAAACACCGAAGAGAAAAAAAATCATCGCGGTCATAAAAATTCATGAAACGGCAACAAAATGGCCGTGAAAATTCAAGATGGCTACAAATACCCACAGCCTCCCATCATGGCCGAGATGCAGCGAGCGAGAAAGCGAGAGAGAGTGAGAGAGAGCGAGAGAGAGTAAGAGAGAGCGAGAGAGAGCGAGAGAGAGAGAGAGCGAGAGATAGCGAGTGAGAGAGCGGGAGGCAGTCGCCCGAGGCACCGACCGGACAAATCCTGCTGCATGCAGCCTTCGTCGCAAACACTCACAAACGCTCCCACCGCCAAATTCCATCCGCCACAAGCCCTGTCCAGGAGACGAACCGGAAAACTGTCGCGACATTAGCGGCGGCGGTATTTGCGTGCGAGCCGTTCGTTTACCACGCGCGGGCAACTGCCGCTTGATTAGCGCCGCCCGATCTGCGGAGGAGCGGGCGCGAGCACAGTCATGGCCGCCGACGGCTAATAGGGGCGGCCGGCTGCCATTTTGTGCGGCGGTGTCCGCGGCGCAACGCGGCGGCAATTTGCATCCAATTTCCGTGGGGCTGTCCCGGGAGATGGGGGGTTTATTTTATTTATTTCAGGTTGTTAATGCACGGGCTCTTGACTCGCACTCCCAGCAGGGGATTTGAATCCACAAACAGGCGGCGTGCAAGTGAGCGAGCGAGCGTGCGTGCGTGCGGAAGAGAGAGAGCACACGCGTGCGGGAGAGCGAGTGAGCGAGAGAGAGAGAGACGGCGTGAGTGTGCGTCTGTGAGAGCGAGCGAGTATGAGAGAGAGCACACGCGTGCGTGCGGGAGAGCGAGTGAGCGAGAGAGAGAGAGACGGCGTGAGTGTGCGTCTGTGAGAGCGAGCGAGTATGAGAGAGAGCACACGCGTGCGTGCGGGAGAGCGAGTGAGCGTGAAAGAGAGCGTAAGTGCGTGTGAGAGCGAGTGAGCGAGCGTGGGAGAGGGCGGACACACGTGCGTGCGAGTGTTTGCGACATCTAAAGCGCTCTGAGATGCAGTTGCATTTGTGCGCCAGTAAATACATGTGAATTCTGATTCCACCTGAAAACCACGCCGTTTCTAATTCTTACATGCTCAGTTGCTTCCGTCACGATGCTACTGTTCATGGTGTAGCTGGATAATGCTGTGGTGTGTGATCGTGTTAGTGTGGGTGAGCGTGTGTTAGTGTGGGTGAGCGTGTGTTAGTGTGGGTGAGCGTGTGTTAGTGTGGGTGAGCGTGTGTTAGTGTGGGTGAGCGTGTGTAAGTGTGGGTGAGCGTGTGTTAGTGTGGGTGAGCGTGTGTTAGTGTGGGTGAGCGTGTGTAAGTGTGGGTGAGCGTGTGTTAGTGTGGGTGAGCGTGTGTTAGTGTGGGTGAGCGTGTGGGTGAGCGTGTTAGTGTGGGTGAGTGTGTGTTAGTGTGGGTGAGCGTGTGTGTGAGCGTGTGTTAGTGTGGGTGAGCGTGTGGGTGAGCGTATGTTAGTGTGGGTGATCGTGTGTTAGTGTGGGTGATCGTGTGGGTGAGCGTGTGTTAGTGTGGGTGAGCATGTGGGTGAGCGTGTGTTAGTGTGGGTGAGCGTGTGTTAGTGTGGGTGAGCGTGTGTGTGAGCGTGTGTTAGTGTGAGCGAGCGTGTGTTAGTGTGGGTGAGCGTGTGTTAGTGTGGGTGAGCGTGTGTTAGTGTGGGTGAGTGTGTGTTAGTGTGGGTGAGCATGTGTTAGTGTGGGTGATCGTGTGTTAGTGTGGGTTAGCGTGTTAGTGTGGGTTAGCGTGTGTTAGTGTGGGTGAGCGTGTGTTAGTGTGGGTTAGCGTGTGTGTGAGCGTGTGTTAGTGTGGGTGAGCGTGTGTTAGTGTGGGTGAGCGTGTGTGTGAGCGTGTGTTAGTGTGGGTGAGCGTGTGTGAGCGTGTGTTAGTGTGGGTGAGCGTGTGTTAGTGTGGGTGAGCGTGTGTTAGTGTGGGTGAGTGTGTGGGTGAGCGTGTGTTAGTGTGAGTGAGCGTGTGTTAGTGTGGGTGAGCGTGTGTTAGTGTGGGTGAGCGTGTGGGTGAGCGTGTGTTAGTGTGAGTGAGCGTGTGTTAGTGTGGGTGAGCATGTGTTAGTGTGGGTGAGCGTGTGGGTGAGCGTGTGTTAGTGTGGGTGAGTGTGTGTTAGTGTGGGTTAGTGTGTGTTAGTGTGAGTGAGCGTGTGTTAGTGTGAGTGAGCGTGTGTTAGTGTGGGTGAGCGTGTGTTAGTGTGAGTGAGCGTGTGTTAGTGTGGGTGAGCGTGTTAGTGTGGGTGAGCGTGTGTTAGTGTGGGTGAGCGTGTGTTAGTGTGGGTGAGCGTGTGTTAGTGTGGGTGAGCGTGTGTTAGTGTGGGTGAGCGTGTGTTAGTGTGGGTGAGCGTGTGTTAGTGTGAGTGAGCGTGTGTTAGTGTGGGTGAGCGTGTGTTAGTGTGGGTGAGCATGTGTTAGTGTGGGTGAGCGTGTGTTAGTGTGGGTGATCCTGTGTTAGTGTGGGTTAGCGTGTTAGTGTGGGTGAGCGTGTGTTAGTGTGGGTGATCCTGTGTTAGTGTGGGTTAGCGTGTTAGTGTGGGTGAGCGTGTTAGTGTGGGTGAGTGTGTGTTAGTGTGGGTGAGCGTGTGTTAGTGTGGGTGATCGTGTGTTAGTGTGGGTGAGCGTGTGTTAGTGTGTGTGAGCGTGTGTTAGTGTTGGTGAGCGTGTGTTAGTGTGAGTGAGCGTGTGTTAGTGTGGGTGAGCGTGTGTTAGTGTGGGTGAGCGTGTGTGTGAGCGTGTGTTAAGTGTGGGTGAGCGTGTGTTAGTGTGGGTGAGCGTGTGTTAGTGTGAGTGAGCGTGTGTTAGTGTGGGTGTGTGTTAGTGTGGGTGAGCGTGTGTTAGTGTGGGTGAGCGTGTGTTAGTGTGGGTGAGCGTGTGTTAGTGTGGGTGAGCGTGTGTTAGTGTGGGTGAGCGTGTGTTAGTGTGGGTGAGCGTGTGTTAGTGTGAGTGAGCGTGTGTTAGTGTGGGTGAGCGTGTGTTATTGTGAGTGAGCGTGTGTTAGTGTGGATGAGCGTGTGTTAGTGTGGGTGAGCGTGTGTTAGTGTGAGTGAGCGTGTGTTAGTGTGGGTGAGCGTGTGTTAGTGTGGATGAGCGTGTGTTAGTGTGGGTGAGTGTATGTTAGTGTGGGTGAGCGTGTGTTAGTGTGAGTGAGCGTGTGTTAGTGTGGATGAGCGTGTGTTAGTGTGGGTGAGCGTGTGTTAGTGTGGGTGAGTGTATGTTAGTGTGGGTGAGCATGTGTTAGTGTGAGTGAGCGTGTGTTAGTGTGGATGAGCGTGTGTTAGTGTGGGTGAGTGTATGTTAGTGTGGATGAGCGTGTGTTAGTGTGGGTGAGCGTGTGTTAGTGTGAGTGAGCGTGTGTTAGTGTGGGTGAGCGTGTGTTAGTGTGAGTGAGCGTGTGTTAGTGTGGATGAGCGTGTGTTAGTGTGGGTGAGCGTGTGTTAGTGTGAGTGAGCGTGTGTTAGTGTGAGTGGGTGTGTGTTAGTGTGAGTGAGCGTGTGTTAGTGTGGGTGAGCGTGTGTTAGTGTGAGTGAGCGTGTGTTAGTGTGGATGAGCGTGTGTTAGTGTGGGTGAGTGTATGTTAGTGTGGGTGAGCGTGTGTTAGTGTGGATGAGCGTGTGTTAGTGTGGGTGAGCGTGTGTTAGTGTGGGTGAGTGTATGTTAGTGTGGGTGAGCGTGTGTTAGTGTGGATGAGCGTGTGTTAGTGTGAGTGAGCGTGTGTTAGTGTGTGTGAGCGTGTGTTAGTGTGGATGAGCGTGTGTTAGTGTGGGTGAGTGTATGTTAGTGTGAGTGAGCGTGTGTTAGTGTGGATGAGCGTGTGTTAGTGTGGGTGAGCGTGTGTTAGTGTGGGTGAGTGTATGTTAGTGTGGGTGAGCGTGTGTTAGTGTGGATGAGCGTGTGTTAGTGTGAGTGAGCGTGTGTTAGTGTGTGTGAGCGTGTGTTAGTGTGGGTGAGTGTGTGTTAGTGTGAGTGAGCGTGTGTTAGTGTGGATGAGCGTGTGTTAGTGTGGGTGAGCGTGTGTTAGTGTGAGTGAGCGTGTGTTAGTGTGGGTGAGCGTGTGTTAGTGTGGATGAGCGTGTGTTAGTGTGGGTGAGCGTGTGTTAGTGTGAGTGAGCGTGTGTTAGTATGGGTGAGCGTGTGTTAGTGTGGGTGAGCGTGTGTTAGTGTGAGTGAGCGTGTGTTAGTGTGGGTGAGTGTGTGTTAGTGTGGGTGAGCGTGTGTTAGTGTGGGTGAGTGTGTGTTAGTGTGGGTGAGTGTGTGTTAGTGTGGGTGAGCGTGTGTTAGTGTGGGTGAGTGTGTGTTAGTGTGGGTGAGCGTGTTAGTGTGGGTGAGCGTGTGTTAGTGTGGGTGAGCGTGTGTTAGTGTGGGTGAGCCTGTGTTAGTGTGGATGAGCGTGTGTTAGTGTGGGTGAGCGTGTGTTAGTGTGGATGGTGAGATGGCCTCTTGGCGTTGACCTCTAACAAATTAACTTCACCTTAAAATTTGCACCAACTGAAATGCGCAAAAACTGATTTTCGCACAGCTCATAAAGCAGACCGGCTCACTTCCCCCCGTGGTCGTGTGAACAGGGTACGTGCGTGTGCGTGTGCGTGCAGGCCGGCCTCAAAAGGACTCCACCAACAAGTCTGCGTGGCTGCACGGGGGACCTTTGTCTTTGCGTCCGCGTGCGCGTTGTCCGTCCGTACCTTCTGATACGCGTCCCTGGAGGTCTTAGCGGCCGCCAGTTGTTCCTGCGAGTGCGTGTAGACGGCCGAGCGGTACTGCGTCCCAACGTCGTTGCCCTGACGCATGCCTGCACGCGCGTCCGTGTCAGTGGGATCGCAGGGACGGAGGGGAGGGGGCGGCACAGATGCGCGACAGTTCGCATCGGAGAGGCACAGCGACGCGTTGTACAGATCGCTCGCCGGCAATCACGCCGTACATTCTCCCCGTCATCTTCGTGCACCGTAGATGCGGAGCGGTAGAGGTCTGCGCCGGTGCGTCGAGAGGCGCCGCGTACGGGGGCTCTCTTGATCGCTGAGTGTGCAGGACACTCCACCGCACGGCGGAGGGTTAGGAACGCAATAAATTGCCTCCTTTATTTAATTCATGTTTTAAAGAGCGGTGGTATTTCACACAATGAGCACAAACCTCAAGGTCCCGCCGAGCGGCGCGCGGTGCGGCTGCCGCAAACTGCCCGCCGAGATGGCACGGCACCACTAGCCGCGAGCGCGCAACCACCACCATCGTCATCATCATCAACGGTGATCAATCCACTGCTGGATGAAGGTTTCCTCGAGCCGTCGCCATCTCTGTCGGGGCCAACCACTGCGACGTAACGCAATGCGCCCGGGCACCGGCACACGAGCCGATTTCATCACAGGCAAATTCCTGGCAAGCGAGCGATGGCGGGTGGTAGTTCGTCTCCACGGCGAGCCTCACTTGGTCTCTCGCCACAGTGTGTGTGACGCCTGGACCCTGCATATGTTTGTAATAGACAGTGAAACACCGGCTAGCTGGACTGACAGGGGGGAGCCCTTGTCCCGTGGGAATACGTTTGTACGGAATCCGGCTCTATCCGGTGTTCAGCCAGCCGGAGTTTTACTGCATCAGGGCTGTGGTGGTGCTCTCAATTGTGGGATTAATCCAAAACACCAGGCCTTCAGACGACAATGTGGACGATCAAAGAAAGCTCTCGCTTCGGATGACATCACGAATGCGATGACGCTCACTCACTTCCGCCAGCCTGCCAACGTGGTATCAACACACAAGTGTCGATCATCCGAAAAAGTACCCAACAAAAAATCCACAATGTCCTCTAAAAATCTAAAATCCAAAATGGTAACATCCAAAATGCATCCCGAAGTATAGTATCTACAGAAGCACAATATACACACACGCACACGATATTCAAACACGGAGGCTTTTCCTTCGGTGTAGGCCTCGTGATTTTAAACGTTTCAATCGATGCGCTCATCTCAAGCGGGGGACACGTGGGGACGTCGGTCCGTGCACCGCAGGGGCAACGCTGCAGCTGCCGGCACTGCAAGGCGCGTAGCCTTGAGACTCGAGAGAAATTCCGACCGAACGCGAGAAATTCCCACAATCGATGAACTCAAACGTTATTTTATTCTGGCAATTAAACAAGACGGCCCGTGCCTCTGCCGATATTGACAAAGTGACCTCCTGGGGTGTCGGGTTGGCAAGGGGCAGGGGGGGGGGGATGGGGTGGTGGGGGGGATGAGTGGAAGGGTCGCGACCCACGGTTTGAGAAATGCTGGACTAGAGGATTTTTTATTCTGCGCAGCCAACACTTCCACCGCGGCCGCCGCCGCACGGTATTCTGGGAGGCCGCCACTGCGCTGCCCGCGGATCGCCGGGAGAGGCCGCATTATTCACGCGACGTGCACCGCACACTGCCCGGAAATTTTCCTCCAAACATGAAAATCAATTAACATACTCCTCGCAGCGATGCATCACAGCATTCGGTCTATTAATCACACTTCTTAAATTATCGATTTTTTTTTTAGCCTTCCTTTAATTATTTCTGTAATTGGCCATTGATGCAATGATATTTATTCGGCGAGAAGTAATGTCATAGCTAATAGGTTATTAAGATTAGCGCACTACAATTATTTGTCAGCGCTGCTATTCGAGGCGTATTATTATATGCTGTGCCTTCAAAAAACAAATTCTTAATATTAAAAAAGCATTCTCTGCTCAAGGTCACTTCTCTGGGGACTGGCGTGGATGAAGGACACGCTGTACGCTATCAAAGCGGCAGCGCTGGCGACGAAATAAAATAAAAATTAACAGTCGCATTTCACGGGCTGCCACCATTACATCTGCCACGGTCGCGCCCGTCCATTGTGGAACCGTCACAAAGCCCGGTCTCTGTGCCCGTCAACTCTCATACACGGAAAAGACAAAATATCCCCCCCTCCCCGTCCCTAAAGCCTTAACAGACTGTAGGGGCAAGTGCTGTTAGCGAGCGCCTATGAAGGCCGGCACGGCACACGAGCGGGTGGGTGGCCAGCACCATGCCCGGCCGCCTTCGTCTCCCCAAGTGGCGATGTTTACACAGCGCACCAGGTACTAATTTGAGGCCGAGTCGACCAAGAGGAGGCCCAGGACAGGTTCAAATAATCGTGACCGGTGTTGGCCGTGAGCAGGAGTCGAACTGGGGTCGCCGGGTTCGTAGCACAAAACACGGCACGGACCATGTCACAATCACCCCGACAGAAACACGGCACACAGCACACGCACACGGCACGGTCATCATCATCATCATGAACCATCATCTAGCCACTGCTGGACGAAGGGTTGCCAGCGTAATCGACATTCCCCGTGCATCAATCCGCGAGGCTCCCACACGCGCAGCCGATCTCATCACTCCATCTCCACAGCGGTCGTGGCCCCGGAAAACACTCCACCACCACCAGTCTCGAACATCGGCCATTATCGCTTTTGGTCACGTGACCTGCCCAAGCCGACACGTTGTCTCCGATTGGCGTTTGTGTTCCGATCCGCGGCACCGCTCCTTTGTCTCCGCATCTCCGTGAAAGTGCGAGCGCGAATCTCTCCACGCTGCTTTTGCGCACTCCTCGGCGCTGGCTCCGTTTGGACAGTGCTCGTGTCCCTGACCCAACGCGCAATGCGGCGGGCAGGCGGGCGGCACGCACCGACTGCACCCTCTCCTGGTGAGGCACACTTGGAATGCTGCTTTTCACTCTCGCGATCCAATTTTCAAAAAAGCTCTCTCATCCCGATATTACTCGCCTCCATTCGAAAAATGTTCTCGCTATCAAACTTCCAATAATTTCCCGAGGTAAACATTTATTTTCTTCGAGTGTCTAGCCAACAAATATTTGAAATCGCAAGCTTTTATTTTTCCCGTGTTTATTTTGAGCCCAAACCTTTTTCAGACTTCATACCAAGTTCCCCCATTGTCCCCTCGAGATAATCGGTATCGGAATAATTAAGGCATTATTATTATTAATGTAATAGGTGGCTTCTATTTTTATTCTTTTTAAATATTTCACGGATTTCACTGACTTACATCTTCTCACTTGGCATTCTAATCCTCCTCCCTCTGTCTCTCCCCTTTCTTCGCGTCGTCGCGCACAGCTTCTCTCCCCCCCACCACCACTACCCGCTGTGCCCCCACCCTCGGCGTTCATTATTTATAACAATCACACATCCACCCCATCACTTTTACTTCTCCGCAGATTTGCATCTGTTGCTCAGAATCCGTCTAAATTCTCCTACCTCCCGAACTAGACTTGTTCACAGTCTAAAACTCACCTTGGGGTTTTTTTTTGTCCCGCTTGCAATTAACTTTGTTCGGTCTTTGATGACGAGGAATCGCACGGTGCAATCTCAGCGGCCCGTGATCATTTTGAATTTGCAACGCGGAACGCGCACAGCATGGCACACTTGTTCGCTCACAACGTGGCCCACGGCACAACTGTCTCCTGCACAGCGCAGACACGCACACGAGTACACACAAGCGCACACACACACGTCGCACATCCGTCCCCTGAACACAAACACGCAGCACACTGATCCTCCTCACTCACACACAGTCTGCCCAGTGTAAACACACACACACACAAGTCCACACACACCTGCCCTTGTACATACCCCACACTTCCTGCAAAAAGACAAAGATCCCCTCTAAAGCCTTAACAGATTAAATCACGAAACGTCGTGATTTTATTCATTTTATTTTATACCGACGTGACTTTACCGAAAAAACCAAAGAGTATCGATCCCTGCAGTCACGAAAACCTCAAATCTAGATTGACCTTAACAGACTGTTGGGGAAAGTGCTTTTAGCGAGCATCTGTGAAGGCAGGTACGGCACACCAGTGGGTGGGTGGTCAGCACCACGCCCGGCCGCCTTTGTCTCCCCAGTGATGATGTTTACACACCGCACCAGGTACTCATTTGAGGCCGAGTCGCCCTAGGAGAGGCCAAAAACCGGCTCAGATAATCGTCACCGGTGTTCCGAGCGGGAATCGAACTCGGGTCGCCGGGTTCGTACCGCTACAATACCGCTCCCCTCGACACACAGACATTCACCCACAGCACACATGCCCCCTCCGTACACACCACATGGCCAACTAATCTCCAACACACACACACACCACGCAGACGGCCCACACTTATCCCCTAAATACATGTCCACACACACACCCACACCACCAATGTCTCCAAGACATGCACATAAAGACAAAGCACAGACTGTTGGGGCAAGTGCTGTTAGTGAACGCGGCACAAGTGGGGGCGAGCCAACACCACGCCCGGCCGTCTGTCTCCCCGGTGCTGATGTTTACATCGCACCAGGTACTCATTTTAGGCTAAGTCGACCTTGGCGAGGCCCAGGACCGGTTAAAATATTCGCCACTGCTATTGGTCGCGAGCGGGAATCGAACTCGGATCGTTCGGGGTTCGTAGCGCAGTGGGCCAACCACGGCGCCGTCACTCCCTGTACCGATCACGCACGCTGGCGTGCGCACACACACACACACCTGTCTCGCTCATGCACAAGCACACGTCGCGGTCGTCCGCACACCTGCACATACAAACACACACCCCCGCACACCTGTGCGCCCCTCCACGCTGCGCAACGCGTGGGTGCGCAGCGTGCCAGCGAGCGCGCGCCCGCGCGCCCACGCCGTTCGTGCCATCGCACGCACTCTATTTTCACGGCGCACACAATTAAACACCAACGCCCCAGTTGTTTGCCACGGCCGCCGCCGGTAATTCCTTCCTGCGCTGCCCCGCCGGTGAGCGGCGGCACGAGGGGCT